CAAGGAGAAGGGTGCAAAGATGAGCGATAGAGTCCTGACGACATTCAGATAGCCAAATCCAGTTGTTCCCAAGTTCCAGCCCTATTCTTGCACTAGGATTCTGTGAAACACTATAGTTTTCTGAAAATAAATCCCCTTCTGCCTAAACTAGTTCAAGTTAGGTTTCTTTGACTTGCAACAACACATAAATTAGGTATCAGGACCAAAGTATTCTAAATGACAGAACTTTAAGTGAGGAACTAAGTTGAGATGTATAGAGGAGCAGTAAGGATCTCCTCATCCCAGCCTGGGAACCTGGAAGTACTTTTTATGTTGTAGCAAAGCAATTAGTTAAACTAGCACCTGTTGTCTCGTCTTAGCTCATATGCCAACTGAAGCTGAAGCTCTTGAAAATACAGTAATAGGCTGGGTGCAGTGGCTCACATCTGTAATCCCAGCACTTTGGGAGGCCAAGATGGGTGGATGACTTGAGGTCAGAAGTTCAAGACCAGTCTCTGGCCAACATGATGAAACCCCATCTCTACTAAAAATATAAAAATTAGCCGGGCATGGTGGTGGGTACCTATGGCCCCAGCTAACTTGGGAAGCCGAGGCAGGAGAATTGCTTGAACCCAGAAGGCAGAGGTTGCAGTGAGCCGAGACTTCCCCACTGTACTTCCAGCTTGGGTGACAAAGTGAGACGAGAGAGAGAGAGAGAGAGGAGAGAGAGAGAGAGAGAGAAAACAGTAATAAAAAGTCAAGACAACAAAAATGAGTTATCCAAAAGGGTGGTCTGTGAGCAGTTAGGGGACAATGCAGTAAGCATTTCACTTGGATAAGGAAATTTGGTTCAGCCTTAACCTCAGATTACTAGGAGTGAGACAATTATGCGCCTTGCTGAATTTCAGGAGCTGGGTTATTTGCTGCTCTCTAATGTTAATACCCTGATTAGGAAACTCTGAGAGCCTAGCAATCGGGCTGGAGATACACTGGAAGATTCGGCATTGGAAAATCCTTCTTGTCCCCACCTTGGCAGGCAAATGTGATGGTGCCTCCCATATTAAAGTGCATTGACTGGAATGGGGCGAAGCAAGGGCATCATTCCAGGGCAGATGGAAGAAGAAAGGATCCCAGCTCTTTTAGCCCAGCCTTTGATTTCCTATGAAGCCACAAGGCATAGTCAAAGGGGACTGAAAAAGACCCAGACATAGAGCTAAAAATGAGAAATCGCTACAAAAGTGTGCTCAGGCCCTGAATCATCTTGGTAAACCTAGAGATTCTAGAAGCATGATTCTGTAAAATTCTGGTATTGATTATGGTAGCAGAAATCTGTTGTATTCCTTCACCTTTCATACAGTTTTTTTATATGGGAAAATTCTCATTTCAAAATCCAGCCTACTCAGTATAGAAGTCACAACTAATATTCGCAGCATACCATTGTTTACAAGGATGACACTTCACCCACGTGAAACTTCCATTTGGAAGTGAGCAATATGAGTGAGGAAAACACTGAAGTTCACCAATATCTCTGGGTCCTCTCTCCTTTTGAGTACTAGGAAGACTGTACTTTCCCTGTCCCTTGATGTTAGGTATGGCTGTGAGATTTCTTTTGATCAATGCAATGTGAGCAAAAGCCAGTGTATGCTTGTCCTTACTTTTTTCTCCTGCCATGGCAAACCCTGAAAGCTCATGTCAAGAAGGTCAAGAAGGCAGCTTCATCATAGGATGGTGGAGCCTCAAACAGCTTGGATCCTTGAGTGGCCAGAGTGAGTAAGACTTCCCCACCCCACCTCCCACCCCCTGCATGCTGAAACTATGGCATGAAGAAGGAATACCTTTTTCTTGTTTAAAGTCAGCAAGATTTGAAGGTTGTTTGTAATTACTGTGTTAACTAGCTAATTCTGATTGATATAGGTAGGAAGCAGGTTAGACATGGGGCTTCAATTTCTGCCGTTGCCGATAGTAACGCAAGTGTCCAGCTTTTGGGGGTGGTAGCGGCAACAGCAGTGGTTTCCCAGTGATTGCAATCTTGAGTTTCTATCCCAGAAGGGCCATAGGGCTTGTAAAATTGGCAGCCCTATTCCAAGTTGAACTCTTGGTACTTAGTATTCGGAGTGGCAACGGCTGTGGTTTCTCCATCAGGTGTGTGGTATGATTTGGGTATTGTTCCTAGGATCTTAGTCTCAAGTCTATTTCCCCAGCCCTCCTAACAGTTTTGAGCTAAATAATCTCTTCTAACAAATCCTTTTTCTGCTTTACCCAGAATGGATTCTATTATTTGTGAAAAAGAACTCTGACTGATAAAATTGCTATATTTAATAATCTCAGATTCCACTGATTATAAGAGGCAAGTTATTTTATAATTGACCAAGAAAAAAGAGGGCTGGGCACTCACACCTGTAATCCTAGCACTTTGGAGGCTGAGGCAGGTGGATCATGAGGTCAGGAGTTCAAAACCAGCCTGGCCAGCCTGGCCAGCATGGTGAAACCCCGACTCTACTAAAAAAACACAAAAATTAGCTGGGCATGGTGGTGTGTGCCTGTAGTACCAGCTACTTGGGAGACCGAAGCAGGCGATTCACTTGAACCCGGGAGGTAGAGGTTGTGGTGAGCTGAGATCATGTCATTGCACTCCAGCCTGGGCAACAGAACGAGACTCTTTCTCAAAAAATAAAAAATAAAAAAATATATATATATATATGGCTAAAAAAACTATTACATGCTGTTAATTGTAAGGCACATACTGATTACATAGTTGTTTTAAGCTGGGAAAAAAATGCACCTTAGAACCAATCAAACATATTATTAGCAAATGGAATTTCTCCAAATGAAATTAATAGGCAGCTGATTATAGTTTTAAAATAATTGCATAATCTGTTGGTGGAAAAACCCTTATCCAATTCTCCTAAATGTAGAGCTCTGGGATTGTTCAATCCCAGGATAATCTGTAAAACATTACCAGAAGGTGTAGTGCTAATCAGTACAGTGCCCCACAGAGAAATCCTCCATAATGGGCCTCTCAAAACACTGGATAAGGGATCTCTACCTTGTGGCCAAAAACTAAGGCAGCCAAATTGGCTGACCAAGGAACTCCACAGCCAAAGAAGCAAGTCAACAAACAGATGCCATGAGACTTCCTAGACTTTCATTATTTCATCAATGAAATAATAATTTCATTATTTCATCAATGAAATAATAATTTCATTATTTTTAATGGCCAAAAAAATCTATAGTAGATGATGTTCTGGGTTAATGACCAATCCACAGTGCTTCCTTTTCACCCCACTTTATTCTCTATTTCTTCTATCTCTACATATCAGGACTTTTTCTTAGGGGGAGTAGTTTAAAGATAGTTCAAAGGCAGTTAAAAGGTACTGGGATTATTAGAAGCCACACTTCATACCTCATGGAGACCTCACTAGAGCATGAAGGGACATTACCCAGAGGACCTATATCTGAAGAACGGTGGTCCTATGCTATGATCTCCAGAAGCAGCAGCTGGATGTGTCACTGAGTTGTTCTCCATTGGAAAGAAGATGAGTTTATTGGCATTTGTATTGTGGGATGAATTATGTAGGTGAGGGCCTTTTTGGAATCATATAATAGGAAATGATGTGTTGGGCAAACAAAGGGTGGACTGTATGGACAGCTGCCATTTTGCTTCTTTATGGTGTTCCTTCCCCTGGAAACCACCACCTCCACCTCCCCACTGCCCATACAGTTATCATGTTAATCAATTTGCTCTTCATCCCTTGACTATGATTGACTATTCCAAAGATAAGCATCTAAGTTGAATCAAAATATTTCCTGAAAATTTTGCAAACCAAAAAAAAAAAAAAAAAAAAAAAGAGGAGGAGGACGAGAGGAGGAGCTGGCAGCAGCAGCCAGTCTCTTTGGTTGCCTACACAGTAAACTTTAAAACTTTAGAATTGTCTGAAGTCCCGATTTTTACCATGTAAACTAGGAGAATATTGTAAAAGTCAGTCTGGGGATGGGGAGGATAGGGGCAAGGGCCAGGGAAGGAAATGGAGACAGGCAGAAATTAACAGAGATGAGAGGTAGAGAGAGAACTCTTTTGGGTGGCTTTTGATCTCTCAGTTTCAATTGTTCCTGAGTCATCCTTGCCTTTAGGTTCTAGTATCTGATTATACATTTATCTTTTTGCTTAAACTAGCTCTCACTCTCCCTGGGTAAGCTCATCTATTTTTCTCATTTAACTATCACTCTTTTGCTGATAACTCACAAAATACTATCTTTAGCCTGGACCTCTCTCCTAAACCTGAGGCCTGTTCAGTAAATGGCATCACAATATCCTTAGTCACTAACCTGGGAATTACCCCAGACTTTTCTTTCCTGCTTACCTCCCGTATCCTCTAGACCTCTAAGTCCCACCAACAGTAGCTCCCAAATATCCTCAATGCTCTCATTTTCTCTCCACTCCTTTTCCACTCCATCAGTTCAGTCCCTCATCATTAATCCTTGCCTTCACTCTCAAATGCTTTCAAGCCCCCCCATCCCACACCATAGCCCAAATCATCCTACTAATTTCTGGATATGATCACATTACTCTTCTCAAAATTCTTCAGTGGCTCCCCACTGTTTTCAGCATAAAATCTGAACTCCTGCAGCTGGGTCACAAAATTTGCTCACATTACAGTCAGATGTGCAATGATTTAAGTCTCCTCCATTTCCTATAACTAGTCTGATCTTTCTCACAATGCCCTCACCCTGCTGCGTAATGGGCAGTGGCTGGGGGGAGCTAAAAGTAATCCACTCTGGTAAACTCTATAGGATCCTATAATTTATTTTAAACAGTCTCTAAGTACTTTGGTAGCTTTGGATGACTCAGTCTTCCCTTTCTTCTTTTCAAGATAGCATCTGGATTTTTAGGGGTCCTATGTGAATTCCATGGCCTTGGGGGAAGGGGCCTCTTAGTCACATGGTCCTTGGGGCAGTGTCGGCTGACATTTGCTGAGATGTGGTCGATTTGGTATAAATTAGTGAATAACAACCCTGAGAGGTAGCTATTATTACCACCATTTTACAGATGACAAAGCTGAGGCTAAGAGAGATTAAATAACTTCTCAATCACAAAGTTAGTAAGTGAACCAGGAATCAATACCGCCCCAATTCCAGTAGGCACTTAGTTATATGAGTCTAGGATTCCAGAGAGAAGTTAAGGCTAGACTTGGGCGCACTGGGAGTCTTCATGATAACTTCAAGGATGTGATCCTCCAAGGAGAGCATGTAGAGCGCGATGAGAAGAGGGCCGGGATCAGAATAGGTGACAATCACTGGCCTGTAAGCATCGGGGTGGAAGAGGTCTACCTCACTGCTCCTGTCCAAGCTATCTTCTTCTTAGGGGAGCTTTTAGGATGACGAGGTAGGACTTCCACCATGCCTGCACCTATTCCAGCCAGGGCGGAACCATTGCTCAGGACACTCCATTTCTGTCCCAGGCTCCCCAACAGCCCGGCAGCAAGCCTGCGACCAACACTGGGTGGGAACTCAGTAAATGTGTCCAAAGAGCCTGCGTTTCCAGGGACTTTCACACCTCGTAGGGCCAGGGAACATGCGGCCCTCTAAAGTGGGAGTGCAGAGTCCACACCCAGGTGGCAGAGGCAAGTGCGCGACTGCACCATAGGCGATTCCCTAACTGAGGAGGTTAAGTCTCCTGCCAGGTGTGGGGACCCGGTGCCTTCTTCCGGAAGACAGGCTTAGAGACCTCTCCCAGATACAGAGGGGTGGTTTCCTCACATGTGGACATGCAGAGGCCTTGGCCTTTCTTGGATGCGGGATGTACAACCCTTCCAGGTGTAGAGGGTGCAAGAAATCCCTACCTAAGGGTAGGCCTCGCACCCTCCCCACCCCAATCCCTCTCCCGGGAAAGACCCTGGGCCAGCTACTCCTTCAGCCCCACTCCCGCCCCGCGCCGGCACCAGAGGCGGGCAGGTCGCCACCCCAGCACACCACCGGTGGTGCGGGAATCGGGGCTCGGCCAGCCAATTGAGTGGCGGCAGCGGCGCGAGGATAGCTCCGCCCCCGGACCGCAGGCCGCCGGCCTCCCAAGAGGCGGGGCTCTTCGCTGTTTTTGCTGGCGACCGAGCCCGGCCGAGCCCAACCGAACGCAGCCGAGCTCAGCCGAACGCAGCCGAGCTCAGCCGAACGCAGCCGAGCCCAGCCGAACCCCGCGCAGCTCCCGCCGCCGCCGCCCGAGCGCTGCCGAGCGAGCGAGCAGCCGCGGCCGCGGGGGAGGTGCGGCCCCAAGGGGAGGAGGTGCCCGCTCGCCGCAGACCGCCCGCGGCAGAGGCCGCCCCGGTCGCGCCGCGGCGGGAGCGGCCGGCGGAGGCTGCGCGGCAGAGGGGGAGGGCCAGGGGAGCGGACGTCGCCTCTGCTGGCCTCCCGCCTCTCGCCGCCCCCCGCCCGCAGGCTCCTGAGCCTTAGTCGGCGCCGAGCATCCCGCTGCCCCGGACCCTCCCGCGGGCGCGCACCAGGCTCAACTCAGGTAAGGAGGGCCTCCCGCCACGGGCACGGAGGCCAAGAACCTGCGACCCGAAGATGGAGATAAAGAGACAGAGACACACAGCCGCGGAGAGAGACGGACACAAAGAGACACAGGAACCCCTGAAAAGACCCCACGTAGAAGGGGAGAGGGACACGTCCATGGGAACACAGGGGGACATAGCCTGGAAGAGAGAGACAGACACAGAGACTGATGCAGAGATACACAGAGACACACTGGGAGAGAAACGAGACACACAGGAGACACACTCAGAGATGGGGACACACGGAGAGACAGCCACACACGCAGAGGTAGGTGTGCATAGGCACAGGCACACATCCAACGGAGGGACAGGGAGACTCCAGACACACACACCTGACTCAGAGAGGCAGCCCCTCATGGAGACACACAGCCCTGGATGCACAGAGCCTGCACATGCCTCCCAGGGCCTCACAAAGTTCCCTCTGTGTGAGCTGGCGCCTCTGGAGGTCTCCTGGTCGGGCTGGCTGGAGTCCTGGGGAGAGGAGGTGCCCAGGCCAAACCGGAGCTGCTCACAGCCCCCATCCTCTTGGGCCGAGGGCTGCTTGGGTCCCACCTACCAACAGAGGGCTTTTGAGGGCTGCAAGCTTGATGGGCAGGGCCAGGGCATACCCACCAGGTCTAAGGAGAATGAGATGATGGCTGCCTACTCCAGCTTTCCCACGCTGGCTACACACTCATTCAGGTGCCCAGAACCAGGCCTTCGGGTGGGGGGTGCTGGCTCTGTGGGGTATTTGAGCCTGTTGGGACCCAAGGTCTTTCACCAGGGAGGCCAGAAATGTAGGAGGAAGGCTCTCTTCCCTACCCCTCTCCTCCTAGGCCTCACCCCACCCTCCCTCCTCACCACACTCTCCTTTTCTCTGTACCCCCAACAGGCTCAGGACAGCAGGTAGACATCTCCACTGCCCAGGAATCACGCAGACAGCACAGCCTCCTCGGAAGGCCAGCCATACCAGAGTCCTGCCTCGGCATGGGCCTCACCATCCAGGCAGCTCCACTGTCTGTGCTAGTCTGAGGGTGCCCGTCATGGGGGCAGCCATCTCCCAGGGGGCCCTCATCGCCATTGTCTGCAACGGGCTTGTAGGCCTCTTGCTGCTGCTGCTCTGGGTCATCCTCTGCTGGGCCTGCCATTCTCGCTCTGCCGATGTTGACTCTCTCTCTGAATCCAGTCCCAACTCCAGCCCTGGCCCCTGTCCTGAGAAGGCACCACCACCCCAGAAGCCCAGCCATGAAGGCAGCTACCTGCTGCAGCCCTGAAGGCCCCTGGCCTAACCTGGAGCCCCGGACCTAAGTCCACCTCACCCAGAGCCTGGAATTAGGATCCCAGAGTTCAGCCGGCTGGGGGTCCACAACTCAGTCTGCCTGCTTGGAGCTGGACCCAGCAGTCTAGAGTCTAGCCAGCCTGGCCCCAAGAGGAGCTCAGTGGACTTAAGAAGATGGGCCTGGGATGGGGGCTTATGAGTTGGTGCTAGGGCCAGGGCCATCTGGACTATGCTCCATCCCAAGGGCCAAGTGCCAGAAGCCGAGTTCACTCTTTCCCTAGGCTAAGCACCTCTAGGCCCTCTAGGTTGGGGAAGCAAACTGGAACCCATGGCAATAATAGGAGGGTGTCCAGGCAGGGCCCCTCCCCTGGTCCTCCCACTGTTTGCCGGATAATAAATGGAACTATGGCTCTACCCTGAGATTTTCTTCTCTTCCTGAGGGCCCCGTGGTAGCAAAATTAAAGGTGTTGGGGTGGGTTTCCAGACAGGTTTATTTGTGCAAAGTTAGAGGGGTAATGGTTGAAGGCCAAGTCCTGGGGTGAGGTGCTAGGACCTAAAGGAACAGAATAAGAAGGGCAGATGCTGGGACCTGATCAGGGGTGGGGTCACATGCTAGGTGCTAAGGCTGGGCTGGGTACCAGGGTCAAGCACTATGAGTACTGGATTCAAGTGATGAGATTGAGGCTGGGCCCTCAGGTCTTGGTTTTCACTTCCCTCACCAGGTTCAGCAGTTTGTCCAGTTTTGCAATCTCCACAGCTGGACCCTTCTGCACCTCCTGCCCCTTCTTTTCCTGGGGAGAGGGAAAGCATACATGGGGGAGGAATGGTGACAGGTGGGCTACCTCTCTCTGGGTCCCAGCACTACTCCTCTGCCCAGCCTATCCAGCTGTGCCCTACCCCTCCCCTGCCCAGTAAATTCTGGATCCCTGCCTCCTCTCTCCCCAACTCGGGTTAGGTGGCAAAGGGGCTTGGCTGACAGCTTGCAAAAAGGAGTCCAGCTCTGGCTTGAACCTCAGATGGACATGGGGTCTTGACGCTGGCAGGAGTGGGAGAAGGCATCCATCCCCTGACCCTCAGAGCAACAGTGTTCCAAGCCAGGGAGATCCAACTCTTTGAAGGCAGGGGGCTGACTGCTGGCACCATCCTTACCATGGCAAGGTCCCTGGCTGAGTCCAATCCAGGAGCTAATGGGTATGTGTTTGGGGAGGGAGGGGCTGTGGACAGAGTCTCAGGGGCCCCCACCTAGTCCTCTCACATGATGCCTTCAGGTCAGGTTGGCAGTGGGTGCCATTTGGGGCCAGGCCTGCTGTGTCAGACATACCCAGGGTTGGGGAGGGTGTCAAGAGACTCATAAGAGCAGAGGGAATAATCCATATGACTCCAGGTGTCGTTGGCTGAGGCTGTCCCTCAAAAGACCAGATACTGAGTTTATGACCCCTCACCCCACCTGCAAAGCACTCTAATCCTTCCATTGTAAGCTGGACACTGGAGTGTATGTCACCCACAGGTCCAGTGAACTCCTTGGCAAACCAACACCAGTCCCACCCTCCCTACTGTCCAGGCAGTGGGCTGAGGGCTATGCTGCAGCAGGCTGGGCAGCTGTCATTTCCCCATTTCATGCCTTCTCTCTGCTCCTTGGCCCCCATCCTCTTAGCCACCTGTGTCCACTGCTCACTGACACCTACCCCAGCCTTGCCTTGGTCTGGTCAGGGTTGTAAAGGAGATGTGAGGGTGAGTGCAGGGCCAGTAGGCCCCTCCCTAGCTCCTTTCTGGCTGCTGACACCATGTGGAGCTTAGATTTCCCCCTGGTGTGACCCTGTACCTGCTCCCAAATCTTCTCCCCATCCCCTTGCAGCCCAGTGCCTTTTTGCCACTACCCAGCTCACCTCTACTCTCTCCAGGCAGAGGACAAAAAGCTCTTTTTCTCTCTCTCCCCACTCTCCTTTCTGAATTAAGCTTGGGTTCTCTTCTTGGCTTCACCCCATCCTCTGGGAGTTAGGGGACCTGGTTTTAGTTCCAGCTTTGTCATTAACTCTATATGACTTTGGGCAAGTCCTTTGCCTTTCCAAGCTTCCATTTCCCACCTATCCTATAGTTAGGGAAAGACAGTCCTTGGCCTTTGACAGGTTGGGCTCTGGACACCCATCATGGGAGCTCCCTGGGCAGGGTAGTCCAGGCCTCAGTGGGGAAGCCCTTTGGAAAGGGCAGGGAGCCTGCAGTTCACACAGGAAGGGCAGTAGGGATGCCCAGAGGATTTCATTTTGCATGAAGCACTTGGCTGATTGGGTCAGATGGAAATTTCACAGGAGCCTTTAATCCACTCAAGCACCCAACAGCCCCTAGCTGTCCCTGCTCAGGTCCTCAGAGACGTAGGTCCCCAAAGATGCAGAGCTTGGCTCTCCCAGCCATGACTGACCCTTCTCTGAAGGGAACTGAAACTGGGAGATCCTTACCTCCCTGGATCAGAGTGGGCAGGGCAGGCTCTCACCCATGTCTACCACCCTCATGGTGTCATGGCCATAACCCTCCCCCAAAGAATGACCACCATCCCTCCTAGAGGGTTGTCCAACTCTGCCAACTTCAACCTGGGTCTCTTTCCTCAGAAAATTAGGAACAGATTTTATCTGCTCCACAAATTGTGCTGTCTCCTTCCTGCTCCTTGAGGCCAACTAGCTGGGCTCAGCAGAGATTCAGACCATGCCAGACTCCCTCCCTCCCTTCAAGCCCACCGCAGCCTCTGGGCCACAGCTGCAGGCGCTTAGCAGCCTTTTGAGTATTTATAGCCAAGTCCACCCCCTCCCCCAGCTGGCTACAATTACAGGCCTAGCCACACTCCCAGGTCTTGCCTCCCTGGCCATGGTGAGGAATAGACCAAGCCAGCACCAGAGGGATGGTGCAGCAGTCCCTTCCTTGGTAGGAGCACAGTTCTGGGAAGTCAGTAGTTGAAAGACACAGACCCCTGCCAGTGCCTCAAACTGCAGTAAATACCTCAAATTGTCAGGAGGGACAGTCATCAGGGCAAGCTGGCCCAGTCCTGATCCTGGCCCAGAACCTGGCAGAAAGTAAAGAGCCATCTCTACTCCTAGCATACAAATGAGCAGGACTGGGCTCTGGGTTCTTGGGCTCAGGATTCTAAGATCTGGGCTGCAAAGTCTGGGTTCATAAGTCTGAATGTGGACTCAGGTCTAGACTTTAAGATCATCGTTCTGGGCTCCAGACCCTGTAATTGGGGGCCCGGGGCTCTGGGCAGGGTCTCCTGATCATTGGAGATCCTAGAAACAGGAACCAGAGCTGAGAAGGAGGACTGCATAGCTGCTGCCCTAGTTACCCTCCTCAAGGCTCATTTCCTTCCTCTCTATGTACACCCACAGCTCCCAGCTCAGGGACTATTGGAGCTGAAACCCTATGAAAACCCAGCCAATGAGGCAGTGGCTTAGCCCCGAGGCCCTTGCCTGGGTGACCCACAACACTCATACTGGAAAGAAATCAATGATAGCCCCACATTTGCCTCCGCAGGCTTCAGATCCACCTGCTCACTGGATGTCTCCACCTGGGAGAGTCCCCTGGGACCCCACAGGTAACTCAAATGCAGCATGTCAAACTGCTATTTTCTCACAAACCTGCTTCTTCTCCCGTGAGCCTCATTCAGGCAATGACACCATCCTGACCTTGGCTCTCCCAAGCCAGAAACTGGGGTGTCACCCTGGCTCCTCACTTCTGTCATCCCCACCCTCCTAGAGACTTTAGCTCTTGCAGCAGCCCAAAGTCCTGGAGCCTGTACCTTTGGCATCTTGCGCAAATTGGGCGAGAGCTTGAGGCAGATGATGTGCCCACGGTCATCGCCCACAATGATGATGGGGTGGATGGGATTGAACTGCACGTGAGTGATCTTGTTCTTCTTTTTGGCCACCACAGGCTGGTTGCAGATGGCCTCGTACTTGTTGATGGCCAAGTCAAACACGTGGGCCTGTGGAGAGGTTGGTGTCGGCACACTCTGGGGTAATGGGGCCTGTCTTCCACCTCAGAGGAATCAGCCCCTGGACTTTCTGGGGAAAGACTATAGAAGGCTAATGGCTAGCATACTGGAGAGGAGGTGGAGGGAGGGGAAATTTTGTGTCTCTGTTTATGTTTTTCCTATGGTTGAAAGAGTGAGTATAAAAAAGTTTAGGAGAACTTTTAAATCTATACAGAATTAACAATAATAGCAGCTATAGGCTGGGCATGGTAGCTCACGTCTGTAAACCCAGCACTTTGGGAGGCTGAGGTGGGTGGATCACTTGAGGTCAGGAGTTCAAGACCAGGCTGGCCAACATGGTGAAACCCTGTATCTACCAAAAATACAAAAAATTAGCTGGGCTTGGTGGCGCATGCCTGTATTCCCAGCTACTAGGGAGGCTGAGGTGGAAGAATCACTTGAACCGGGGAGGTTATAGTGAGCCAAGATGGAGCCACTGTACCCTAGCCTGAGTGACAGAGTGAGATCCTGTCTCAAAAAAAAAGAAAAGAAAAGAAAAATAGCAGCTACCATTTGTTGAGCACTTACTAGGTACTAGACTCTGAGCAAGCGCATCACATAATTGCATCGCCTCATTATGCTCTTCACAATCACTCTGTAAGGTGGTTCTGCTATCTTCATTTAAAACCGAGGAGTTAGAGGCTCTTAGAGGCTAACTTGCTAGTAAGTGGCAGAGCCAGGGTTTACACCAGTTAATATATATGAAGTGCAAAGACAGTGCTTGACATATGAGTGGTCAATCAATGTTGGGTGTTACCTTCACCACACCCTAAGACCAAACCGCTATCAACTCTGGACAACTCTGCCAGCCTCTTAACTGGTCTCCCCACTTCCACTCTTGCCTTGCTACAATCCATCCTCCAGAGAGAAGCAGGCTTACCTTTAAAACACTTAAAATCCTCGCACAGACTCCCTTGGCACTATAAATAAAATCCAGATCCCTCACTCTAGCCCACCTCCCCACTCTCACCTCATGTTCTTGCCCCTTGCTTACTAGACTCCAGCCACACTTGCCTTCCTGTTCCTTAAACCCAAGGCTCGTTCCCACCTCAGGGCGTCTGCTCCAGCTGCTCCCTCAAGGTGGCCTGCTCCCCTGCCCCATCTCTACATGCCTCCTTGCCAGTCAGCTCTCAGCATGAGTGTCACCTCTTCAAAGAAGCCTTTCCTGACTACTGCATCCAAGAGACCACCCAGTCCTTTTCTTTTTTCTCTGTTTTTCTTTTTTTCTTTTTCATTGCTTGGTCTCTGTGAACCTCTTTCTCTTTTTAATAAAACAGCTTTATTGAGATATAATTCACATACTATAAAATTCACTCATTTAAAGTATAACATTATTGGTTTTAGTATATTCACAGCTATGCACAACAGATTTTACCTTTGCCACAACAGATTTTACAAC